ATTCACTTGTAATTTAACTTGGGATTAATTTGACAACTCTGCCGAATCAAACTTCACAACACCGTGCCTATTCACCTCATCAACAGCACACCGATTACACACATCCAATGCACTTTGGTCCGCTTTGTTCAAAATACACCTATCCCCAACTGCAACGAAAAACACATGCCTCAATTTTAGCTGAAAGATTTGGCACTTGTTTCAGCAGTATGTATCCTTGCCGACTACACATTGCCGATAATCCAGGGCTGTTGATGAGACAAGATTTGAACTTTGTACTTCATATAAACCTGAACAAACATTTCATTTGTATTTATAGTATCAACATGCCAAAAGATAACACTTCATGAATCAACAGAAACTGTAAAAATTAAATTGTAACCTTATCCAAATGCTAAATCACCACATGCTAAATCGAATATTTCCCACTGTGTTGTACGTAAACATTTGCATCGAAAACAGGGAAGCCACAGCATAGGAATGATACAAACACCTTTGCTATAACTTACTCTATGTTACACAATTTTAAAACATTACAAAAAGGTTCTAATGTACACACTAATCTGTGTATCCACATCGACATTGCACAAACAATATTTTTCCTTTTGTTCTGACTGCAATTGCACCCCTAAAAATAAATCTTACACCATTATTAAGAAAGGCTCCTTCAATTTTGGGGACTTATTCAAGGTCACTTGCGAATGGGAGTCATTTTGCCCAAACTTTATAGCACAGATGCAAACAGATTCACAAATCATGACAAAAGTAATCACAAAATTAATTTCAAACATGCCAAAAAGATCATAGTATTTTGTAATCTGCAGAATCAACACTGAATACTTGTGGACAATCCCATACTTTACGAGAGTATTCAACAAACAAATTTATAAATAGTTAATAAATGAAAACAACATCAGGGCTCAAGTGACTATGATGAAAGCCTCCATGGAATGGCTAATATACTCTGAAGGAGGCAATGTGCAGACAGTGTCATGTGATCAATACTGCCCACGTAGGGGGTTTCCTAATCATGAATTATTCAAAAGCTAAATCCTCACCATCTTATTTACAGTGCACGGTGAATTTAGTCCATCACTACGCCATTCCACACATATATGGTGTACAATAGAGTTGTCATGAGCTGCAAAAATACCCCAATATACATTAGATTTACAAAAACATTACATGATACAAAGTAGTTCACATCATAGACATTACACTTGTACATACAAACACCTGTTGGTCACAACAAAGCTCAAATTTTAAAATTTACAGTGTTTGAAAAATACTGATTTTTAGCAGCCAATTTTATCCAGTTCGGTAAGCCATTTTCGGTCCATTAGGAGCAGACATGTGTACATGTGTAGATTTCCGTCTAAAAAAGTTCCCAAAAATTAATTTAAAAATCTGAGAAGAAATGTCCAAAAACAAACAGGATAATGAGAAAAAAAAAACACCTTTTGGTTACAGCAGCTTATGTGCAAACTCACAACAACATTGCTTTTCTCATTCACCTTTTGCAACTGAAAAATAAAACTGTTTGTCCACAGTTTCTGGGAGACGTCCAAAAACAGTTGTTTGGTTTCAACATATCAAAAAGCAGCCGGCTGGAAACGTTCACATCTTTTACGAAAAAAAAACCGCAATAAATGACAATTAGTTACATTTAGAAATATGCTGTTATTGTGCAAATGTCATCTCCCTGTTACTTAATTTATACTTTGAACACTTTTAGCATACCAAGGAAAACAACACAAAACCTACAAGAAGAAAGAAACTGAAGGACTGGCCATATTCTTCATGTAGTGCACTTCAGGATTCAGACTGTCTCTTGTAAATGAAATCACAATCTAAATTCCTTCATCCAAATCATTTCTGATTTCACAGTTGGTTTTGTTTTAGCATCCAGAGACCCCAACAGGTGTATTTTCTGACACCATCGAGTAAAAGACATTGCATTTCTTGTTGCTCTTGTATCACACCAACATGCATAGACTAAGCCCAAACACATATCATCAAGGATACAACTAAATGACGGGCCGGCCACCAAGGACAGGAAACACCTTTCATTTGTGTCCTTTAGGCAAAGTAAAAGATGCACGTGTGGACACTGTGCGATTTATCTGACACACATTGACATCTGTTAGCATTTCAACCCTGCTTCTGTTCACTATTGGGCCCAAATTGACTTTTGTACACCAACTTCTGAATTTAGCCACATCTTGCAGCGCCATACTTTTCTTGCATCGCTTGAGGTATTATGGCAGATAAGGTTCACAAAATTTCAACGACGGGAAGGCAGATTGGTTAGTCACATGTATATGTATGCCACATTAAATAGTTTGACCAAACCTATAAATGAGGTTGCTGAAGAAAAAAAAAGCTACCTGTTTCCTTACCTAACCTACTTTGACGGTGCGACCCTTAAGTTTTTTTGGGGAAACTTCAGGAAATGTAAAATTAAAAATGTATCTGTTTTGTTTGAACATGGTTCAAAAAGGTTCCACAGACTTATTTATGCACACAACTAGCGCCCTTTAACGAACACCTCTAAGGAAGACATGTTTTCTCTGATTTCATCTGTTTAAATATGGAAGCATTCAAATCAAACACAGTGTCATTTGTCTTCAGAGCTCAACTATAACAAGCTTAAAAGGGCTTTTTCTGTTCATGCCAAGATGTGAATTCTGAGTGTAAATTGTGCCATTCAGAGAAAACAGAGAAAACGAGGGAAACCTCGCTCTGTGTCTGTAGTGGATAAACCTTTGCATGCCAAGCAACGGCAACAAACAATAGCTACATGCATTGCTTGGCATGCACAGGGTTTATCCATTACAAACACAGGGCAAGGATCCCCTCGTTTTCTCTGAATGGCACAATTTACACTCAGAATTCACATCTTGGCATGAACAGAAAAAGCCCTTTTAAGCTTGTTATAGTTGAGCTCTGAAGACAAATGACACTGTGTTCGATTGAATGCTTCCATATTCATTTGAACAGATGAAATCTGAGAAAACATGTTTTCCTTAGAGGTGCTCTTTTAAAGTGTTGTTCATTTGAAACCGATGCCACCTAGCCTTGCTCGCTGCAGTAATATTTCACCTTTTAACACTCAGCTGCACACTGGAGCAGTATAAAGCACTCCACAACAAACCAGAAAAAGCCCTACTCTAATACCTACCTACCCCGTTCACAAATGCCAGGTAATGGGAAGCAGAATTGGATTTCATTTAGCCCAAACGCAATAACATTATCTCCCTAGAGGTTTGAGATGGATCCCAAAAATGACTGTCAGTCAGTCACTTCAGATAATCCATCCATTGTAGCATTCAATTTAATGCTTGGATCCTGCACAAGTAAAAAAAAATACCACTTGGAGTAAGGCTGAACCAAACAGCTCAAAAACAGAGATAACCATGCTGAACCCAACAAGGTTATGCAGGATTTTAATGGTCCCTAGGGGGTTAACCATGCTGATC